CATGCAAAATTCTGAGACGATGACATGGCGTTTCCCGAAGGCATGTTGATGATAAACTCAAAATACGAACAAAATATAGGAGTAATCGGTTTTATACTTTTTAGATATAATTGTTTTTTGTATAATGTTCATTTTTTCCCAAAAACCTTCACGCATAAGTGTCAGCCGAAGTCATTGGCAAATAGTGATTTTTTTTATGTAATTAGTATACAAAATGGAATAGTCAAATCATGTCCTACGCCTTTTTTATTTTTGTTGTTGATTTTGCATTCTTTTCCCGACTTAAATGGTAACGTTTTTATGCACATTTTTTGTAAATAAAAAATTGATCTAAGATTATTTAGACAGAAGTTCTCCCGCAGTTCATCAAACCCAGCTTCTTGGAAAGATTATAAAATTTGGATTTGGGAAAATTTATTTTTTGTAATAACCGCTGAAGAAGAAAATTTGAATGCAATGATAAACCTCAAGTATTAACTCAAAATATTTTACACATTTTAGGTAATATTTATTCGATACATGATACGTCACGTTATAAAATTTTTATTTTTTTTTGCGAAAATTTGGATGCCTAGGGTAAAAAAAAATCACGGCGGATTCATAAACCACAAGTACAGGGGTCCACTATTTATAAAATTTTAATAGCATTTATTAAGCAAATTTTGTGACGATGTCATCACGTTTTTGGAATGGATAATAAGTAAATTCTAATTCCCGGTTTACCATATTCATGATAAACTCAAAGTATGAACAAAATGTATGAGCAGTCGGTTTAATAGTTTTTAAAAATCTAATTGTTTTTTGTATAATTTTCATTTTTTCCAAAAACCTACACGCACGAGCCCCAGCCCAAGTCATTTTTCCCAGTTGCGAAAATTTCCATTTATATATATTTAATAAAGTGTAATCATCAAATCACGTCTCACGCATTTTTATTTTTGGTCAAATTTTGAGATGACGTCATGTTGTAATTTGCTTTGCGAAAATTTGGATGCATAGGTTAAAAAATCAAGGCGGATACATAAACCACAAATACAGGAGTGCGTTGTTTTATGCAATTTAAATAGCATTTACCATGGAAAATGTTGATAGGACGTCATCATGGTGTCAAAAGGGATAATAGGGAAATTCTAATTACCGGTCTACCCGTGCGTGATAAACTCAAAACCTGAAAAAAATTTGAGAGCAATAGGTTTCTCAGTAGAATGTTTTTGTATAATTTTGAATTTTTGATACAACTGCGAAAATGTATATTTAAGAAGTTTTATAGGTAGGTATAAAAAATGTAATAATCAAACCACATCCTACACATTTAAAAAAAAAATTGTTGATAAATTTTTATTGTTTTCCCGTATTTAAATTATAATGTTTTTAACACATTATCCTTTTTTTTAACTAGTCTAAGTTTATTTAGAAAGAATTGCTCCCGAAGTCCAACAAGTCCAGCTTCTTCGAATAATTATAAAATTTGGTTTTGCGAAATTTTATTGTTTTATGATAATTCCTATAAGTTAAAAATGTGAATGCTCTGATAAACTGCAAGTATAGACTTCTTTGAATTTTGAAATGAGATCACGTTGTACAAATTTTATTTTCTTTGCGAAAATCTGGAAGCCTAGGATACAAAATCAAGGCTGATTCATAACTCACGAGTACAGGAATGATTATTTTCTAAAATTTAAATAGCAATAACCATGCGAAATTTTAACATGACGTTACACATTGGTGGTGGGAATACTCAGACAAATTTCGATTAGCGTTTTATTATCTACACGATATTCCTAAAATGTCCATAAACTTGGACAATAATCAGTCCAGTAGTTTCGGATACTAATCAATATTGACCAATCAAGAAACAGGGAATCTATTTTTTTCATATTCTAGAAGTCATGAATCGTCGAGAAAAACGGAAAACATTAAATTAGTGCCAACATGTGTCTGTGCAAAATTATGCTAAAACAGTGATTATTTACAGAAAAGGCCAAAAATAATTTTCTTTATGAATATGAGCAGGAGAAAAACCGTGGATTGCGTGATTAAGTTAAACTTGTGTTATTTATTTTTCATTATTATTATTTTTTTTAATAATGTCTCTTTGATGTTGATACAAATTCCAAAATGTTAGAAAAAAATCATTGCCAAAAATTAGAAAACGCTGACTTCTTGAACGGTTTTACAAATTTTTGGTAGTTAAATAATTTTTTATATCTGCATATTATTTTGCACGTTTTAAACGGAATCTACTTTGCAAAATTTTGAAATGGGTCATTCAATTTTTGGTAAGGACAACCAGATACATTTTGATTAGCCTTTTATTATCCAAACAGAATCATTACTAATTTCGGAGATTATGTGTCTAATAAAATGGCCACCAAACGACAAGACGACAGCCGATAACCAACAAAAAGACCGAAACGGAGGGTCTACTTTTTCATATTCTAGGAGCCATGAAACGTTAGGAGATCATAAAATTTGTCATTCGTCAAATGGACGTACAATACTAACAAACAGACAAGAATCGAACAAACCACAACGATTTAATACCAGAAGTAATGTGGACCTGGATCTGGAGAAAGTTTAAGCTTTGAAGGTACTGACTGAAAAAAAACATCTCAGGAGAAATTAAAGCCTTAAGATCTATTTGACTTACATGAAAGAAGAAAAATAACTAACAACAAAAAGAAGTGTTTCGTTCAAAACTAAATGGAAAATTAAAACAAGATTTGTTGAAAAACAAAAAGTACTAAATCAGTTAATATGGAATCTCTAATCTCTAATGTTGAAAACAAATCTTCACATAATGGAAACGAAATTGATTTGTAGTGGAAATAAAGAAGAATTTAGTGAAAACTTTATAAGGAGACTAACAATACGTAAAATATTTGTAAATCAAGATAACTACACAGAAAAAATACAAAATGGAAACTTAATGTAGCAGTAACCAATTGAGTAAAAAAGTAATTTATAAAAAATTTAGCAAAATATCTACATCTACATAATTAACAAAGTAATCAAATTCGAAGTCAACAGTGAAAATTCATTGATTTAAAATTTTTCTTGGTCGAAGATCATGTATCGTCGTTATATCCTAGAATATGACAGAGTGCTGTTGAATAAAGCTCTACTTACACCGAGGAGTGTTTCATAAGATTCTATGAAGTTGACAGAAACGATGTCAAAGGAAAATACTACACACCAAACGAATTTTCTGACAAGGCTCTTTTCACGTACAAAACTGAAGAAAATCAACGCTGAGTAGATTATGTTGAAGTGTGCTTCGTTCCTCACAGAGTCAGCTACTTTTTGAAATCCTTCGCATTAGCATAATCGCGGATTCTAAAGCAAACTATTAGGTTTTTCCATTTACAATGCAAAAGTGGGGACAGGTATTTATTGAATAAAACATCGGATACACATTACTCTGAAAATTCGTAGTGAAACCTCAAGCAAAACGATGTTCCCGTATATAAGGTTCAACTTGATTTGAGATTAACAAGTTGTATCGAGGAAACATATTTCGGCATGTTCGCTTCCATCCGATAACAGCGGTTTCTGCGTGTATTTCAAGCCATAGAGCAGATTAAGTTTAAGAATCAGTATTATCTTATCTTTACTGACTACTCTTGGAAGTGTTACTATCTGAAATCAACATAATAACAATCATCATTACAAAACTATTTCTTTTAGAATTATTCCCCTTCAACTATCTTGCATTTAGATTTAATTCAGACGACAGTTACGTAAAAAATTGCAACCTCCAATGCAATTTCTTCTTAATAAATTCACTATTTAATATGTGCATAACATGGGTGGAAGTGATTAAAATCCTGTAATGAGTTTCAGTTCTCTTCATTAGATTACACTGACCACCCACATATCCTTTAAAATCGTTAATAAAGCGCCATAAGGAAGAGTTCAAAGATGCACGAACTGTTGAAGTCCTTAAATCGCACCCACATGACAGACTGGAGCTTTTCATGCAATGACAAAAATACTAAATAAGTACATATAAATCAAAGCTGGTCAGAAAAAATTAATAGATCCTAAAGTTAACCATATAAGAACGTGTTTTGATTGATTAAGAGACTTAAGAAAAACTCACTTGCAGTATTCAATTATCCGCCGATTAATGAGTTTATAATTACCACAATTCCAGCAACACTAGAACGAGTCGCAGCTCCACCACATGGGTGCGCCTAACATAATGCGATAATTATTTCGTTTAAGATATGTTGTCCTGACTTCAAGAGCAAGCCTATTGTTAGTGGTTTAGAAAGCGATTTTTTAATGTGTTAGATAAGAATTACACACTTTTCTAATTTGAGACTAATATTTCACTAATTTGCATTATTGCCTACTCAGTGAATAAGCGGAATGTCAATTTAAAACACGGCTTGACAAGATAACGTGGGAAAAGAGAGCTGCTGAGTTTCATACTTCGCAACAAATCATAAAAGATATGTTGAGACCTTTCCACTGTAACCGGACGTCTAGAGAAATTTCAGATACACTGACCAATTAATAAAGCATTATTTTAACTCTTGACTACAATAAAATTAGAAGTCTGGTATATATTCCTACTTTGTCTAACACAGTTACACGTCTAACCAACATCAGGTTATCAAATATTGACAGATCTGGCAAATTCAAAGTTTGCTTATTTACTGAGGGAGACAGGAAGCTAAGTAACATGTTGCAACTTGAAATGATATCAGTAATTAATAAAACGGCGTTTAATATTTTAGTGTTTAATCTAATCTCTCTAAAAGTGAGATGCGAGATTATAGCTTACAACGACAGTATTTTACTTGTTGCTGTGATTGCTGATTGTGGTCGAAATGATCAAACTGGAATGGTTGCATTCGTGATCCTTGCCTGACATTTAAATGTTATTGCCTCTCGCGAAATCTGAACTGGCATAAAGCTAGTTCATTCGCATTAGAAGACATTATGCGCTGCACGGTAGAGGATCAAGGAGCTGCCATCTACGAGGGGTATTCAGAATGTAAGTTACATTTTATATATCATTTTTAATATTTCGCGATGTCTTCATTTTTTGACATTTTTTTTCCTTAATTTAATTTTTTAACACTCGGACGAAGCTGTGAACAAAAAAAAACATATAAATTAATATAAAAAACAAATATAAAATGAACCCAAAATATTGTACCATCACTCTTAAAGTTCTTCAAAAAATTTCTTCCAGTTTCCATCAAAATAAAATAACAAACATTACTGTACTACTTTGGTATACGAGAATCTCATACTCAATAAGGGGGTCATTGTAGAATTGGTGATGTCGACAAAACCAGTAAATAACCGGAACTTGTTTGGTGGTTTTTAATCCATATCCCTGGTGTGCATAAAGATGAAATTGGCCATAATCTGTAACACACAGCTATGTTGACATCAAAGCAAGTTAAGTTTTACGTGTTTTATTTCGATGGCTAGTAAACAAAGGTCATTTAAGGATGACGCCAACAACTAAAAAACCAATAAGTAAAACATCTACTTTATTCTTTCATCCTCAATTACACACTCTTCGCCGAAGTTTTCGGTTTCTAAACTGTAATTTAAAATTTTTCTTTTATAAGAAGTTACTTCATTCGAGATAAATAAAATGTTGCTCTTTATATTTAAACTAGCGAAAAAATATTAACCACGTTCCATTGATCAGGTCAAGACAGCAGAAAACGATAACCACGGGAATATTAAATCATACTACAGATCAAATTGGTAGCAACGTTGATAAATAATTATTGTAAAGTTTGGAGATGATGAAATTATAGTTAGCGTTTATCTATACGACATTCATAACATAGATATAAAATTTCACAACAATCGGTCGAGTAGTTTCGGAGATTATCTGTCTAATAAAAATTGATACAAACAAATAGAGAAACAGACGACAGGCAGACAGAAACCCGCACTCTAGGGGTCACGAAATGTCGAGAAAACATGAAAGTAGTAATTCGTCTAATGAACCCTATTACAATACGCCCAGGAAGTAAAAATATCAACGCACTGATAAACAACAGCTGTAGACGAATAATATTTTGCACAATTTATTAAATAAAATTTATACGGCAAAATTTTGAGATCACATCATTAAATTTTTGGACGGAATAAATATGTAAATAAATTGTGATTGGTGATTTAACGTTTGCGAGATTTCAGAGTATTCGGTTTTACAGTTTCTATGTTCTTTCTTTCTTTCTTTCTTTCTTTCTTTCTTTCTTTCTTTCTTTCTTTCTTTCACAGTATCTCCTTGTATCCTTGATAGGTGTTAGAGTAGTATCTTTTCAACTCGTAATCTATTTTTCCGTGTTTTCTGGTTCTTTGCTGGTTCCAAGTCTGCATAGGCTCCCTTTAGTTCTCTTTGTGGTTCTTTTTGCTTCATATTTTGAATTAGTTTTTGTTTTAATTCCTGCCTAATTTTTTCACTTCTTATTTTTTCCATTTTTGTTTTCCCGCATAATTTACTAATGTATTTCATCTCCACAATGTTTATATTAGTTTCATATGTTGTTTGTTTTGTCCAAGTTTCGATGACAATGGATGGATTTATTTCTATACTTGTATTTTTATCTTTTCTATTTTTTTTTCAGGTCTATTTTTTCATCGTTGATTGTCAGTGTTTTCCTTGTTGTTGATTTTCAGCATTTTTTGTTATGGAGTGATTTTTTTAAATTTCTGCTCTAGTTACCCATAACGCTTACGTCAGCAATTTCAATTATTATCAGATTTGTACTCATTTGGACTTTTTCTGTTATATGTATATGGCATTTTCTAGTTGTTTTAGTTGTTTTAAGATCTTTTAGACAACTCCACATTTTTTTGCTGTTGTATCAAAAACTGCTGTTTGTTCTTCCCCCATTTTAAGTTCCCGTTATTGTTTTAGTCTTTATTACATTACACTTATTTTATTCTTTTCCTACTCCACCCGTATCTTTTTAACGAAAGAGCAATAAAAACACGATCAAAGACAGCTATGGATTTTTGACAATTTGTCTTTGATTATTTCCAACTCAAACTTTCAAGTTGATGGTAATCTGATAAGACGAAAATTTTATCAACGCCAAATCTTCACAAACCCATGGCTATCTATGATCGTGCCTTTTATATCTCTCTCGGTAGTATTCCATGGCACCCTGATTATTTTTAATAATTACTTTCGTCCTTTCTCTCCAATGTATTTTACTGACTCTATATTGTCGTTTCCAGTCAGGTTGTGTCCGTTCTTCTTCTCATTGTTGTTCTCTGTCATCTATTCTTTCTAATTTTTCTGGATCTCCATTTTGGTGTCTGCATTTTTGCTTGTAGTATCTCTTTTGTTTCCACTTTCAGTTAATCTTTTTTCTCTGATTTTTTTTTCTTTTCACAACTCTTAGTACTCTTGTTTCAGAATATTCTATTATTTTCTTTATAGTCTTTGCTATTTTATTTTTCTTTTAACTTAATTTCTGATGTTGTTATACTCTATTTTGTCTAGTTCACTGTGTCTGTGAGATTGTGAGAATCCCTTCCAAGCTTTCTTCTTTCTTTTGACTTCGTTTTGAATATATGTATACATTTTACTATTTTTGCTTACTTGGTTTTATTTAGGCTTTTCCACACACCTTAATTGCCGCAATTTTTTCCAAAATTTGAATGTCCAGGATGAAAAATAAAGGAGGATTCATAGTCCACAGCTGTAGAAATTATTATTTTATAAAGTTTATACAGAATTTACTCTGAAAAATTATTTTGAAGTGACATCGTAGTTATCGGTGGGATTAATAAGATAAATGTTTGTTGGCGCATGACTACACGAGATTCCCAAAATGTGTCTTAAATTTCACAAAAATGAGTTATTTGAATAATACGATCGCCAATAGACGACAGAGGGCAGACAGAGGGAAACGGTGGATCTACTACTACGAGGGTACATCGGACGACTGACCACTTTCATGTTTTCTCGACATTTCATGACTTTCAGAGTACGAACAAAATATGTCTGTCTACCGTCTGTCTGTATCCATTTTTATTAGACAAACAGATCTAAAAATCTCCGAAATTATGGATTTTTGCCAAATTTTACATATAAATAGGTTTTTTAGGATTAACTAAAATTTGGCTAATCATCTCCACCAACAACCATTTTGAGTAGTTAAGGATACCTAAATATTATGAAATAATATACCCCTGTATCTACTCGTGGTTTACGAATCCGCCTTGATTTGTACCATAGTCTGTTGTGATTGATAGTTGATATTCGGACTTGTGCTCTATCCCATGTGGGTTCGCATCCTCTATCCTTACCGAGTATTTTTTCTTCACTGTTACTTGAATTATCACATTTTTACTGAAAGGGGTTATCATAAAATAAATAAAATTTTGCAAAATCAATTTTATAATTTATACAAGCGGCGAGGAAAGTCCTGTCTAAATAACCTTAGACTATTTTTTTGTGTAAATGATTGCATTTTGCAGTGAAAAATTCTCTACTATTTGTCTTTCTTCATATCTTAGCCACTAATAACGCGTCATGTAGTTCTTTTTCATTGGTTACTTCAAAATCACATATATTTTCCAGATTTAAAAAAAGATAATCCACAACTCTTAGGGAACTGCTGAATTCAATTTAATCAAATTTTTCTTTGAATCAGCATAGATTTATAACTAGATGAACTATTGTAATCAGTTTAGAATTTTTTTCTGCAAGTTTTTAGCGAAGTCCTAGAATCATTAACAGGTTGGTGTTGTTTGATTTTTTCTTTTTCCCCAAACACTAGATTCCACTTCGTACAGTATTTTGTTTCCCAAACTTGATAACACTGGATCCTGTCTGTCTCTCTTAGAACTCATTAACTCGTATTTCTTTGATTGTATAAATTATGTTTTCTCTATTTATTTCGATATCGGAGTCCCCCAAGGCTCCAGTCTTGGAGCTCTCGTTTTTAACATCTTTATCAATGATTTACCATTGTCGTTGTCTCTTAGATTTCATGGTGTTAATGTGCAAACAGATTTATTACTGATATTCTTTGTGCAGATATTTTAATTTATTTCGTTATTATTTACTAATTTTAGCAAGTACGAGAAAAAATAAATTGTTGAATGACTGCGGTAATATAACCCATATGAGAGGGCAGGTGTAAACATTTTTGCAGGTTAACTTCTAAACCCCAAACCAACATCAACTGATAACTAACTGCCAAAGTAGCTTACGTGGCGTAATCAAAAACCTTGCTTCAGTTTCAATTGCTCCACGAGCGCCCATTATCACCTTTTATCGTGCGTCAGCTACGTCTGCGACCCGGCAAAATCCAACCAGCCTCCCTCCAGCAAGTCGGCAGTGCCGGTGGCCGTACCGACCTGATGAAAATAATAATGCGAAGGTAGTACCTCCACATCTGAAACGTCATCAATTAGAATCTGCGATCTGGCATGATGCGGGCGATCATCGTTCACCCACCCACGTCCCATTTCACGTGCCGATAGATTTGTGAATTATGTGGTGTATAAATAGTAAACAAAGTGTAAGGAAGTGAATCTTGTGCGGGGTTGTAGGGAATGTGGTGTAGGCACGTCTAGGCGGCAACGGGCGCATGGCTGGCACGAGCTCGCGACTTGCAACCGCATACTCTCTCTGAGATGAGGATCTAAAAATAGCTCTGTACTCACCAGCGTTGGTGACGTCGTGACCACAACGAGCTTTACTGCTGTTGGGCCCGGGCCCAGCGCACACATGGGCACCGCGAGTGCGACTGCTGCGAGGTTTTCCACCGAAGGCCAGCAGGAATCGCAGGAATGGACCTTCAAGGACGAGGGACGTGCTGCAGGCTGGGGATTTCCATGTGTGCGCTTGGGTGACAAAGCGTTTTCCAAGAAGAAGACGAAGTGGACAGTTGCAGATTTAGAATGCAGGGTATTAGAGGAGCGTTGGTGAGCCAAATCATTTTTCACTAGATACATTGTAGCAACGGATTAAATTAACGAGCGAGTGTGGCTCTGGATAAACAGGCGTCTGTCACGAAAGTACCAAAATTTGCTACATTTCACACTTGAAATAAACATAATTAGTATTTTGAAACTCTTCCGGCGGGTACCTCTTGGCTAGAGAACAGAGCAAATTCAGGGCATCCAAAATGTATCCAAGTGTCTTGATCACGTGTATGATTTTTTTTTAATAATGAGTAGTGATCAAGGTTGAGCCGCTTTATTTTTATCAAGAGTGTCTTACATTATTAAAATGGGCATATGTAAACTGCGGCAAATCCGATAATCTTCTAAAATCAAATACCAACCCCAGATCTTGTTGTTGTTGAGATATAGGCACTCTTTTAACATACGTATTTTTTACACCCACAATTGCATTTTTATACAGTGCGCCATAAATTAATGCTAATATTATGACAAAACTAACAATAATAATTGTTGTTAGTTTTCATGATTTTAAAAAGGAAATTGTTGGATGAGTATATTTTTTAGATTTCCCGATATACAAATAAAATTATTCCTGCCGATGACACTCTAACGAAAGCTTATGCAATATTAATACTAACTAAATGTGCCACGTAATTCTTCAATAGTAGTAGTATTTTTAGTATCTAACAGGTCGAGTAACTGGATACAATTATGATTCTTTTTTCAAAAACTCTGTGTGTCTAGGATGAAAAATAAAGATGGATTCATAAACCACAAATATAGAAGAATTTTATCTTATGAAATTTAATTAACATTTACTACGCAAAATTTTGAGAGGAATTGGGTCCTAATTTCAAAGAAGTGCGAATTATTATGTAACAAAACTCTCTAGTTATTAGCAGAGAACTTTCCGCCCCTAAAACGTACAGCAAATCCAGCGCACTTTTACAAAGATATAGTTAATAATTTTCTTGTCTTACTACTTCATCCATTATGGATTTTTTAATTCCTCTGCACTTAGTTCCCAGTTCCAACCGTCTTTCCTTATCATCGTTCTTCATTAGCGTTTTTTTTTGTTTGTTAGTTACTAATCCATACTTTTCTTGTCTATCAGTAGAAATATCTTTGCAAGCTGTCTACTTATGCTAAATATGGGTATTTTTCGCTCCAGATTATACCTACTGTACATAGCAACAAATTGAAAAGCGTGCTAGATAACTGATCTCCCTGTGCCTTTTTTCTGCGAATCTATTAACATATTTGCTTCTAGTGTGGTTTGTGTATAACGCATTGTATATTTTAACATCATTTCAACAAATTTCTTTAATTAATTCGCAATTCCTACTGTTGCATTGCACTAAACAACACTCCCTTCCAAGGAATCGTAAGTTTTCTTGAAAACTATGAATAATGCAAATTTTTCAAATAGATGCAAACTTAGGTTAAACTATGTTAAAGTTGCTACGTGATAAAAATCTATAGTACATTTTATCTTCCTCTTTCTTTCTAACCTTCACATGTTTTGTCTAATACCTCTTTAAACTGTTCGAAAGACTTTTTACCAATATTTCCAAAATCGTCATCAACATAGCTCTCGACAGAACAGTCCTCTCAAAATAGCCCGATATAAAATTTTTGTAGATAAAAGCAGAAATTATTGTATTTGTTTCACAAAATACGACTATTTTAAGAATATAGGTAATTTTTGGTTTTTATTTATTCACAAAAATGTGTAAAATTTGTTTATTTGAGACAATAAAGAAGTCGGGTTGGGTCGGGTTGGATCGGGTCGGGTCGGATCAATTCAGATCAGATCGGGTCAGGTCAGATCAGATCAAATTAGGTCAACTGGGTCGGGAATCGAATAACAATGACAATATTTCTCTGTCTTTTTTTACAATTTCTATTGGTAGGTCATTTTCACCTTCATTTTTATTGTTTTCAAACTTCTTTCTCTTTAGCAATTCTGATTACATTACCTTTTTCTCCCAATCCACATTGTTATCATATTTTCTTGTACTCTCTTTACTTTTATGCAGACACTTCGAAGTATTGTTCATATTTCAAATACTGTGATCCTTTCACGAACGAATTTATTCTATCTCCCCTTTACTTTTCAATACACCTCTTGTCTTCCTACTTTACAATTAAAATCACCTACTAACACCTAAGTTTCACATTACATAACCTTGCATACGATTATTTCTAATTTTTCATAAAAATTGTCTTTAATGTCAGCTTCCTACGTGAGGCATGCACATTAATCACGGTCAGTTTTCTGAATTTAGATCTAATACTTAACCTACATGGTCTCGACAATGGCGATTGTTACCAATCAATCATTCTCAAACGTCACTCTTTTCTCCATTGTTGAAAAATATTGTCCTTTGTACTTTTCCACATATTCTTCTTCGAATGTACTTCTAGTGTTTCCAAGTCCGTATTTAATTTCACATTTTGTTTTAGTTCTTCGTATCTTCTGTCTCATTCGTGTTGTCTTTATGTTGTACTATGTTCATACAACATTATAAATTTCGACATCATAATTCGTAACATTGTTGATCCTTCGACCCTGATTACCATTCTGATCCATCGGAACCGGAATTATCATTTGGCTCCTTCGATCCGGATTAAACATTTTGGTCCATCGAACCGGATTAAATACCGTCATTCTGATATTCCTTGCTGTCCCACTTGTTCTTGTTGCATTTGCTATCTGATAAAAATCTTTGCTTACAAATTTCTTGTTTACTAGATTTTACCTTCTTTGAATACCGTGACTGTCCCTCTTTAATCACTTCCGAAGATAAACATCCTACACAAAACACTGTACACAAAGTGAGGTACGAGTAGGACTGCTAAAAGTCAGGTTACTTAGTTTACATAGCTTATTTCTGGACTCTATATCAGTATTTGAACAGAACATTGTAAATTTCACTATTTCGAGATTCCACAGAAAACTTCAATCTTTTTACAAAAATTAAAAGAAATTTTGTAAATTTTGCATGGTAAACTCGTAGTTAAAACTTTTATATGTTTTATGCACCTAACTCTTCCTAACACAGTAATAAATTGATCTTCTTAAAGCTTTATTCATGGATACCTTTCCAGGTACACAAAACTTCGCAGAATTTTGTACTCTTCTTGAACAGTTTTTTTTTTTTTTTTGTAGGAAGAAGTTCAACCTCAGACTTCGTTGCGTTTTAACAACCCTTCGTGGATTGAAGAAGTAGAAGAATTTAACCGAAAATGTCTTCACTACTTCCAAAAGTGGATTGTAGGTTGTACCGACAATAAATTCTGACACAAAAAGTACGAATTACACTTATGACACGGGTACTAGAAGCTGCACAAAATTTCATCAATTTCATTTTCCAAATTAAAAATATTTATTAAAAACTTACGACAAACATTTTTTAATATGTAGATTTCGCTAGCGTCACCGCTTCTAGGTTTGTTCTGGAGCCCCCATCGCGACGTCCGCTTCCAGGTTTTTCTTTAGCGAACGCCGTGCGGCCACCGTCACCGACAATGAGTCACCCATCATCGCCGCACATACTAGAAAACCCATAAGGATTTTAGGAATTCATTGTAGTAACTATTCTGTCAGTTGATATTTTGACATCAAATCAGGTTAGCATTGGAAAGGTGAAATTACTGCTATATATATTTCTTGTCATGGTGGAAACCTAAATATACTATGAGAAAAGGAACGTAAAAACGCATTGTCATTTGAACCAACCGAAATTTAATTTTGTTGATTCAGAAAAGTTTTAAAGAAAATCTTGGTGCAGAAATCAGGAAAATCCTTAAACAAGCAAGAAATACAGTAATCGTGCTTAAGACTCGCAATTATTACTACGTTTTCTGTGTTAAATTATAAAGCAATCTGAAAAAACAGATTTAGAAAAAATGATTCATTCGTACGATTTTTTAAGGTGCTAATTCTTTTCACTCATCCAACAGTAATGTTCCTAAATGCTAAGAAAAGTCAAATAACACGCTGATTTTAAAATAAGGTCAAAGAACTTCATGCAAGGGGAAGAATAAAGTAAGGGTCAAGGAAAAGTTTGAAAATTAATAAATTATTAAAATAAAATAAAAAATACAAAACAAAGGCGAAATAAAGTACAATTCCATCGACCGCTCAGTCTATATTCTTTATTGATTTTCTTACTATTATTTTTCCTACCTCTGTTTTTTTAAACACTACCTAATAACATTTGCTCAACGCAAATCGTGTTTCAGATAGACGAAAAAGGATAAAATTTATAAAAGAAAATACATGAAGATGGAATATGTATTCATACATTTTTGAGTCAGCACAAGCAACACAAGTATAGAAGACCAAAAATTTGGTGGAACCTCTGCACAAAAGATGGAAAATAAATTATATGAACAATCTAAAAATGTTTTGTCTAATTGCAGCAAATGTGCCACTGGATAAGTTATATGTTTAATTTTTTTTACTGGTGTTGGTTCTAAAATAGTGCAGTTATTTTAAAAACCTTTTCATTTATTTATTTTGTCTTTCATCAGAAACAACAAAACATTTTATACCGAACTTCAATTTGCTATAAATAGCTCCAATTTAAACAGTCACCCGGTAAGTACTCGCTTAATAATAAATCTATTGGGTCAAATTTTCAAACGAACCTTAATGAATAATTAAGAAAGGGATGGATATATTTGGACAAAGCATTGTTTTCGGTCGTTCCTATTACCGGTAGTGCCTGAGATCAAGTATGTAAATAAATCTTGTCTTCACATTTTTTGTACTAAATAAATTCTGTTGCAATCGACTTGCTCATATGCGTATCAATAAAAAAA